CTGAATAAAAAGTTAGTCTGACGTACAGTGTAAAATACTCCTTCCTTATTGGAAGAGTAACCAGTCTTACTTTCATCCTTTTATTCGCACAAAAACCCAAAACACTTCCTACACAAGGCTGACAACTTGGTTCCAGTAAGTGCGCCTCCCAGTGCAGCAGTTCTAATGCAAAACCCACTCACAGGAGCGATGATGCACATTTAATAGTTTGAGTCATGACCCATCCCTGCTGAAACTAATGCTTTAAGTATGGTGCATGACATCGTGTCGAACCTTCAAACTCTGGAATACTTACAGACTCTTCAAAGTGTAAGTGTTTGACTGGTGAATCCGTACAAGGCTAAAGTGAAAGACAAAGCTTTTGAAAAGCAGCTTGGTGTTTTTTAGCATCAAACCCAGAAAGCAGTGTGTGGACGAAGCATGACAAATGGGGGATATTGTCTCCCCAGGTGCTGACGAACTCCCCACTCTCTCTGTTCTCCTGTCTTTTTCTGTTTGTTACCATGACTATTTCACTTTTACTTTCTCGTGATGGGTAAGACCAGCGAGAGGCCTTCTCTTCCTCTTCCAGCCGCCCTGCAATGTCTCTGAGTCTGAGAACGTCGCCTGTGTCAGTCGGTCCATTAACTGGAACTGGTTCCTGCCCACGTTTTCCTCAGAGGCTGGCAGCCTTGATGAAGTAACTTAATGAGGCGGAGAGGGGCCATCTTTGTTTGTATCCCGATGACCACGCCTGCCACTGGCGCGAACAGAGAGGAGGCACTAAGGGGCAAATTACACAGATTTCACCCCTGCCAGATCCTGAATAAAGCCTGCTCTGAGTGACGGATGGATACTGAAGTACATCACACCCAGTAGGACCACTTCTGCTTCACAAAGAGGACTGACAGAACAGTGACACTGATATAGGTGGAAAAGGGAAAGAAAGTTAACCACAGACTGACAGAATGTCAAAATGTTCAACGCAAAAACCTGTGAAGCTCATGTAAGCCAGTGGCAAGTGCATACCAAATTTCTGTTTTGTTCAATGTTCAGTAGAAGACTAGGCAAGTGCATACCAAATTTCCGTTTTGTTCAATGTTCAGTAGAAGACTACGTGGTACTGAGTTGTACTGAAATACAAAATATTTTGGCTTTTTTTTTGTTGTCTTTTTTGTGATCTTTGAGAACAAAGAAGTCTTTGTGTTCCTCTACTTATCTAAAGCTGAGTTCGCAGATGTAGCAGTCACCTGCCACTTTCACCAGCTCCTCTGAGGAAACGCCAAGAGAAACATGTGATCCCTTCATTGTGTCCTGGAACTGCTCCAGGGTGTGCCCTGAGGTGGACCAGCATGCCCGAAACACTTCCTCCCACAGTGTTCCTGGAGGCAGCCTGAATCAGACGCCCAAACTGCTGCACAAATCTACTGAACAATGGCTCCGCTCTCGAACATAAAAACGAAACAATGCCAGGCTGCTTGAAATGTATTTACTTAAAAAGGAAGTCTGTTTTGGGACATTTGTCTCTTGAAATGACGTACCAGAAGGTGATGAGGAGAAACCTGAGTGTGTTGGACATTTTAGAGTTTCTACAGTAATAATTACTGGAACAATGGCTGGATTTACAAGTAAAATTACCGCATTATATTTATCATAAAAAACAAGAGTAAAGATGAGGTGATAGCCTTAAATGAATATTCGATAAATTCGTTTGATTCAATTTTATATCTTAAAGTACATTTTGAGGTCTTCTAATAAATGTGGGAGGAGTTTAAACCAATCCAGAATCTTTGATTTGTCTGTTTCTTTCCTCACTATTGCAAGCTGGAAACCTGTGTGAGCGCATCTGTGTGAGAGAGGCCTTGACTGATGTAGCTGTAAAACAAAGTGTCCTTCAGTAACAGTGTGGACCAGATACCCTGTTTCTCCTAACACTAACATTCACCCTGAGGCCGACTGTGTCCACGCAATACCGACTCATACAAGTCCAAACTGAGATGAGTGTGGAGTGAGGGTTCAACATACGCAGCGCTGATGTCTCCACTTGTCTTCTGTCTGGACTTCCCTCGCTCCTTCTTCTTCTCATTTGTTCTGCTGGGCTTCAGATGTGACCTGGGAATATCAGAAAAAAAGTCCAATCGTTAATAAGTCACAACATTTGAAAGTGAGTCATCAACATTTCCAATACTGTGACGTTGATAAAGAACTGTCCATTCATGGCCAGCGCTGCATCCATAAAACACTGTTTTGTGGGTTTCCTTAAGACTTTTACAGCTCATCCTTATCAAACTCTTTCGGCTGTTGTTCTGGGAACAGGGCAGTTCATTTAAGCCATTAGTGCAGAGCAAATATTGCACTAAAGTTCCTTGTTGTATCAGTGTGATGACCAGAGGGTATTGATTTATTCATAAGCAGACTCTACTATCCCCTCACTTTAGCTTCTTCTCTTTATTTGTTGTGTCATTGTAATGAAATATTTTTGTGCTGTGATGTTTGACTTAAACAAAAAAATCAATCCAGTAAAATCACAGTCCCACCAGAAAAGAACAAAAGCCACAAAAGAAAATACGACTTTGACACAGCTACTGTTTGGTTTTCAGAGGTGCAGTAAACGTGAGCACTGCTAATCTCTGTTGCTTCAGGCGTGTTCAATCCACCTCAGTCCAAAGACACATCAGTACAGACTGAAGCTTTGCATTTTCCTCTTTTAAACTTAGTTATAAGACATTATATTTTTTACCTCAAATTTAATTTAGATTAAATAAATGATATAGTTTCATGTAATGTCATGTTTATCAGCTGAGTGCTGCTGCTGTTGACCTCAGCATGTCTGGTGACTCCCTGCTCTGTAAATCACTGAGAGAGCACATGGCAGCAAAGATAAAATCATCACTATGGTGACAACAGGATGAAGGCGTTCCCAGGGGATTCTGGGAAAGAGGCCCGCAGATGCTAACTTGCCGAGGGACAAACACACACACCCACACGTTTACACATACCACGCGAAAACCATTATTAGCTCATTTACAAACTCTCACACACAGTCGGTCTAATACAAGGAGGACAGCAACGTGCAGGATGAACACAAACACACACAGACACTCACATGTGCGTGTGTGTCAACCCAGGCTACAACCCCTTTGTAGAGAGTGAGACATCTAGACACATATATACTGTATATTGGAATCCTGTGTTTATGTCCACATCCAAACAGGAAGAAAGACATAAACACCATAGATACAATCGTACGATCGGAGCAGGGGACACACAAACAAGCATCAAGACCAGAGTCTGTTCCAGAGGACACAGCTGTTGGTCCCTGACAACACTCAGCAAAGTGTCTCGCTTTAGCACAGAAATGGTTCTGTACTAAAGGGAGACACTTTGTTGACTTTACTCTACTTTTCTTCTTCACTTACAAGGGGTTACACTGCAGGGCAACAGCAAACCCTGGCAGTGTGGATGTATTTGATTTCAACAAAGAAAATCCTTCAAAACATAAATCAGTAAAAATAAAATCAAAAATCAAATTAAAGTAAATCAGGTAAAGAGGCTCACAGTGGGGTTTGTTTTTGTTCCATTCTGCAACATTACAGCAAAAAGAACAACTGCCAAAAAAAAGATCTCACAAAGACATAAATCAAAGCCAGAAAAAAGTGGATGAATTACCTTGTCGTAGGCAGTGGCAATAATTGTTCTTTTAGTCTGTCAGAAATATAAAAAAAACAGATGGCGTCAGTACAGTGGCAGCTCCATCACACACCTCCTCCACCGATGTGCACGGACACCCGGGGTGTATTCATTACCTGCACTCACACTGGCTGTGCTCCACGAAAGGCAACTCAATGAGCTCGTGTTTCATGAAGGACGTCCTCATCAGCTGAACACCAGTCCGAAAATGACAAATCACAGCAATGATTTCACAGTTTGTACAAAGACAGATGCAGTCGACACAGTGGCACAGATACCTCCATGGTGAGTGTGTGCGTGAGTGTTGGCACACACTCCAGGGCCTCGTCAGAACAGCAGCCACCACATCTCCTCACCGACACGCAGGAGGGGATAAAGAGATGGTGGGTCTCCTCTGGCAACTCCCGCCACACCTCCACCAGGGTGTCCCGAGGTTCACATCCACTCCTTGAATACACCTCCAACCACCGCCGCACTGGCAGATGAACAAAACACGAGACGTTTAAAAACTCACGTGTGAAGATGCTTTAGGTAAGAGGAGAAAGGAAAAAAGGAGCTCACCTTCTCGACCTTCTCTAGATTTGGGGGAGTCTGCAGGTCGCCAGTGGGCGAGCTGGAGAAAGAGGTACAAATAATCGACCGTTACTGTTAGATTCTTGGAAACACAGGGTGGAGATCACAGAGGTTACGCTTACTATTAATTTCATAGTGAATGTAAAATTCAGGTAGGAAGCTGGAAAAGTTGGCAAAACGCAACTCCAAAAGGGGAGCAGTGATTCATCTAAATATAAATTAATATTGTCTTAGGTTAGAAAAAGGGAGCCTGTTCTTACCAGACTGTATGAGATCATTATGATGAACAATCTTTGGAGAAGATCTACAGAGACTCTGTTCCTCCAGTAATTATTGAAGATAACTTCAATAAATCAAATTTGTGTAATGGCTAGACTGAAGTCGACCCTGTTTGTGGGAATGGCATGGATAAGTAATGGAACTGGACAGCACAGCAGTGACCTTAATAACAAACCATAATTGCAGCCTAAAATTTAATTTCATACAGCATATCTGCTATTATATGTCGATAATCACTTAATTGAACCGCAATAAAATCATAGAGCAGCTCCTGCGTCTCCACTGTCCTCTGGTTTGCTGTTTTTGTGCAACGCTGCTGGTACGAAGCCAAATCAAAGTATTTCCTGTTAATGAGCAGTACAAAGGCCCCTGAATATGAGATGAGTGACGCAATGTTGAGTGGGAGGATGAAAGTGAAGGCTGTGAACGTTGATAATACTGTAGGATAAACATTCAAATCTGAACGAGCGTTATCACGTTATCACAACTGACACATTAACAACAAATCACTAAGGCCATATTATGAAAATACGGAGTGTTTATGAACCATTATGATGAATGTTTAAAAGGTCACAAAAAGAAACAACCAAACGTGTACATGCAGGAACATCTACAGTGCAGGACGGTAGTTGTATTTCTGTCTGCTACCTTTGGCCCAGAGTCTACCTGATTGTCTAGTAGCTCTGCAAAGAGAGATAATGAGCTGAAATGTTACCTGATTCCTCATCTGTGATCTGTCGTCATTAGTGTAAAGCGGAGCATCATCCCACTGGACTGCTATCACTATTATTTTAACCACATATTACCTTGTTGCACTTTGCCCTCAGATCAAGTTATTGTTCACAATGCGGAAGGAAAGCACTGGTGATAACCTTTTTATTGTGTATGTTTACTTCAGGATCCAATTTTTATTAATCTCTGATTTTAACTTCATTCTGACTTTGTAAATTTGATGGGCTCACCTTTGGCCTTATCAAAGCTCCATGGCCTTTGTCTACTTGCAATTCATTTTTTAAGTATGGCGACCAAAATCCAAAAAGTTTTTGTAGACATCTATCTGCTCTGGAAACGTCTGCCGACCTCCTGAATGTACGTGAAGCTCCTGATCTGAAGTGAAGGAACACCATGTCTATAATTACTTGTACCTTCTTCTGGCCATACATCCAGCTTAGATACCTAACCTTAGTTAAGCTAAGCTACATAACCTGAGCTAAGCTAGCCTAACATCTCCATTATATGAGGACTCTAGTCAAATAAGAGTAGGTTTTTAATTGTAAGTTGTTGTTTTTTAAACAAACTTCCTTTAAATTAAATTCATTCATTTAACAACTGTTATATTTCTTTCACCACAGACCTACAAACACAGAGGCCTTCATTCACACGGACAGACAGTCAGACAGACACTGACATTGCTACCTGTAATTGATTCATGTGCGTCAAAACCAAGGCCATTTGTAAGGGACTTTGTCCAGAGCCCCCCCCCACACACACACACATGCACAAACACACACACACAGATTCAGAGTTAAGCTGAGGCCATTTTGTGCCTACTGTAGGACCAGGGTGTGAGCTAGAGCAAGTGTGTGTTTTCTGTTTCTCAGGCAGACAAGACCTCATTTTGCCTTTTTTACATCCTGTGAATGGCCTCTTATTGGTTCTGCCTCTCTGGGAATTACACACACACACACACACACATACAAAGTGTGTTGATGTAGTGATTCTGTTTAGAACAGTAAACTCACTCTATTCTTAAAAAAAACGTATCCCTAATCTTTATCCAACCGTAGCCCAGCCAAGGCTCACATAATAACTGTAAAACTGACTTTTATTACTGACATTTTGCCAAATAATGAACTTCATCCTCTCAGACACTCACACCTACAAACACTGGTCCAGACAAGTGCCATCTGCTCTGGTACTATTACTGCACTAATGTCTAACACATCCCACTCTGTACACCCCCAGATCACACCACAGAGATTGGACTGTGTGTGTGTGTGTGTGTGTGTGTGTGTAAGGCCGTACAGAGAAGGATGACACCCTTTTTTTAAAACAAGCCTTCAGAGAAGCAGGCAACATTAAAACAGAGCGTGCTGAGCTGGAGGCAGCAGCTGCGTGCAGGTGAAGTGCACGTCGCTGTGGTGCGTGTGGTGTCTAGGATGACGAATCACTAAAACACACAGCATACGGCAGCACAGAGTCAGAGCTGGCTCCCACACAGTCGTGGGCACTGCTTGTTCCTGATACAAGTCTCCAGACATAAATAAAGCCTGTGCAGGTCTCTCCAGTTAGTAACATTGATCCACTTCAGGCTGTGGACTAAAGAACCTCCTCCAACGGCCCACGTTTTGTCTGTTTAGTTGACCAACCTTTTAAAGCATCATTAAGCAGAAAACTTCAATAGAGAAACAAAATGTTTGTCAGAAAACTCAAGAGTTTGTCTCCTTTACACAGCCAAACGGTCGTAGCATTTAGGCTAAGCTAACTACAGCCCTGCATTCCATAATGAATAAACATATTTTTCCAATTGTCCAGAGATCAAATTGATAACAGCTGAATTGGCGGCCTGAATGTTTCACAGCCAAAACACTTTTAAAACACAGAAAGTGCTGGGTTGTGTAGCAAAAACAATGAAATTAGGTTGATAATGATTCTAAAACATGGGCATAATTATCAAAGAGTAGGACAGAGTTCAACAGATTTCACCCAGAGTTCAACTATTGTAGCTTGAATGTAGGACACTCTATAAAACCTGTTGTAAAAATATTTACTCCTACTTTCTGGGTCAAACGGCACAAAAAAGAGCAGGATTGATGTGGGAAAAAGTACCGTGTGCTTTTATAACAGGATGTGGATGAAAACCAGCACATGACCTAACTAGTATGGAAATGGTTTAGTATTGTCTGGTTTAGGAGCCAGTTCTTCACTCACTGATCCACAGACACAGTCTTTGTGGTTTGAGAAACAAACAGTAATATTGAAACCCATGACTGTAAAGAATTCAACAGAAATATTTGCCATGTTTATTATTATTGTGTGTTTACGATTTTTTTTCCCTTCACAATCTGGCAACCGAGACGTTGCTCTTATCAATTACCTTTTTAAGCAGTTTAAGTGATTTGGTTAATAATTGATCAGTATGGACTCTGATTTTTAGAAAGTACCAGATAAACAGAAGAATGCACTGATCAATAGAGAATCAAACAGTCGACTGCAGCAGCACTTTCCCAGGGCCTGGAGTGACAGGTGTCATTGACCTGCAGGATAACCTCTCCTTTTTTCTCCCACAAAGCCCCTCATGATCTGCAGCAGACAGAGCCACCTCACAGAGGCCGCTAAAGGCCCATCACTGCCCATCACCGTAATTAATCACAACAAACCACAACATAAGCTCATGTCTGCTGGCACACACGAGTCTGTTCAGGTCAAATGGTGAAGCATGCGATCATACCTTGGCGTGAGACGCTGGTATTCTGGTGATCAGCAGGCACTGAAACATTCCTAGAATAACTTGAAGCATAATCCCCATTGTGCAGGAGTCCAGGGGGGACCGCACAAACAAATTTTGGAGCAATCCAAAATAGAAAAGAAGATGGTAAGAAGATACAAAAAAACCAAAAAAAAAAAAAAAAAAAAAAACCAAGGTGTTTGGAATCAGTGTCCGGTTAGAGACGCAGAATTCCCGTTTTCATTCCCCAGACTCCCTCCACGGAAAAGCTCCCACGGTGGCATCTTCAGAGCTGGGGTGACAACTTTACTTTCTGGCATTTCATTCTGAATGACGTAAATGTGAGCATGCGACAGATGAAGAGACCTCGGGGCTAATTTTAGTTTATATTCTCAGGAGAATTAGGGCCCAGTGATCCAGTAGTTTTACCACACACACGCGCCGACAGTAAGAGGCATCAGTGGAGGTCTGACTGTGACACCGTGACCTCAATAATCCAGCTGTTTTTGTCACAGTTGATCAAAGTTTAAAGTGGTGTTCCTTTAACCTTTCAAATCAAAACCATTCAGTTCATTTGCCCTGAACCCATTAGAGTGGTCCGAGGTGGCGTGACTCGTGAACGATTCCCCGCTGAAACATGATAAATCCTCGCTGTCGCTCCAAATAATAATAATAATTTTAAAAAAGAAAATCAATCATCCAACTCTAGGACGTTCCTTCGGTTCTGATCCCCAGCTTGCGGGCGTGCAGGAGTGACAGTGCGGTAGATCCCTCTCTCCTGCCTCGGTCACAGGCTCCTCTCACCGACGCTCCAACTGAAAATGTGACGTTTCCCGCCCGGGCGCATCTCTTCTCTTCTCTATCCTTAGAGATTTAAAGCTGAAATGTCATCCTCGGCTGACAGCAGCAGCAACAGCAGCGTCAACACACACACGCAGACGCACAGACACAGACACAGACACAGAGGTGGCAGTCTTCATTTGTTGTTCTGATCGATTTCCTCATTTCCTTTGCCCTTGAGACGCTCGCAGCGTAACCATTGCGCTGCCAACTTTTTCCTAAACGGCGTTGGACTGGATACAGGTGCAGCAGCAGCAGCAGCTCTGTGAAGGTCTCAAAAGCTGGTCTGGGACCCACAGATGGGCCGTTGTAGATTTTTTTAGTGTCATCTGATTCATTTCACCCCTAAATGTACAGATGAAGTACGCAGTATTTTGGTATTATTTGGGTGTTTATTCTGCGTATGTCAACATTCAACATGTAGCGCTCTTCTTGCTTAAAGACATTTCAAAGCTGCCACACTAATACTGTTATAAATATATTCAGATTGGCGTAATACTTAATACTCTTGCCTTACAGGGAGACCCAGCTGCATCCCATCTTTCTGTGTATGAAGTTCGCATGGTTTTCCCAGATGTGCATGAGTTTGGTTTGGGCAATCCAGATAAGATAAGATAAGAAGTCCTTTATTCGTCTCACTGTGGGGAAATTCACAAATTCCTCCCACGGTCCAAAAACACACAGGATGAGGTCATTTGGACATTCTAAATTCACTCCTAAAAAAAAAAAAAAAAGATTAAGGGTTAGAAGATGAGAATGTAGCTCCCCCACCTGTCCTATAGGTGGTGCTAAGTATGAACAGTGTTTTTCGTTTTGTGTTGTTTATTTTGTCGCTGGATAAAGAGACTTTTACTCTGTTTTCATCCAGATCTTTGGAGCTCCACCGTCTCACTTTACATACATTTCATAAATAATATTTAAATATCATTCTGCAAGAAAACTGGTCTATTTTATGATTCATATGTATATGATTTATACATATCATATAATAAAACCCTTCATCTATCTTCTACTTCTTTGGGCTATACTAACTATTCTACTTTTTGTGAGTTGACTTACTGCCACCTGCTGGTTATATTTTCCTTACCCCATTACCCTCCTTTTACATTTTGTGTTTACTGTTGTGTATAAACAAAGTTGGATCGGTGTGAGGTCGCCCCCCCCCACCCCCCCCCCCCCATCATTGGTGTGTATTTGATGTTAGTGTCCTGATAGTCTTGGAGTTCTGCTCTTTGTTCTAATTTCCCTTTTCCTGCAACCCAGTGAGTTTTTTAAATTTTGCTCTTTGTAAATAAATTCACTGCATTTGAAAAATCTCCCTCGTGCTGGGTCCTGCCTGCAGACACTCATGGCAAACCATGACAATTGGCTTGGATAAACAGCTAAATGCTCTTCTATTGACACACAAAAATAATAAAGTGATTAATTTGATATAATTCCTGTATTTATTACGTAGAGATTGTTGTTCCTACATTTTATCCTTGGTTTTCTTTAGCTACTTAAAAACAGTGAGTGGGAACACACAGGAATCCAGATCCACACAGTGTAGTATTTATGTCTGTGACATAATTTCTCTACTGTGTTTGTAGCTCATTAAACTAAAGATAGAAAACAATCAATTAGCTTTGTCTTTGAAGCAGCTTTTATCTGTGTAGTATCTGCCCTTCCCATGAGCCAGGTCTTCTGTGTGTGTGTGTGTGTGTGTGTGAGTGTGTGTGTCTAGGAATGCTGTCACCAGAATCTCAGTCATTATGATGTGTTTGGGTTATGACAGGGCACTCACACGCCACATGAGGGTAAGGGTGTCTGTGTGCTATGCGGGGGGATAAGTTATCTCCTGCTGACGTCTCTGGACGGGCCGCCGCTGACAGGAAGGCAAGACTCCCAACCGTTTCCATACATGTGCAAGTATGTGTAGAGAAGAAAACACCAGAAACAAAGCCTTTCCCCCACCGTCACGTCTTGTCACAGGGAACATTTTTGAAATGTTTTCAAACCAAAATAAAACTCTCTGCAGAATCTGCTGCAGCTGCTCCGTCTGAAATCATCACCTCAGCAGGTTCAGAAAGAAAGTCGAAACAGTAAACTGGTGAGCACCTCTTCTGGGTGGTTTTTCATTAAACAGACAAAAGGTTTACAGCTGGTTCTGCTAAAGACTTTTGACAGTGTGCCCAAGAACAAAGTAATGAAATGGATGACATTCCATTGATTTATTCTGTTAATAAACATATCCCTAGTGTTTCATAACATGCTGTCAGCTATTTTAATTTACAGTCCTATTTACAGGAAAACTGATAATTAAACAGGACATACCAAACTTACCAACAGATCTTTAACTGGCAAAAGGAAGAGGATAGTATTTATTTGTTTACACCAACAAACTCATTTTTATCTGTAATTTGTGTGTAATTGAGTGACACAGGTATTAAATTCACAGTAAGTTTATACTGAGCAATAGTCCGGCACTTTCTAAACCACACATCCTTAATCCACATATCGTTAATTAATGAGCAGTGTTAATGTCAATCATTTTATAACACATTAACCCAGTTTGTACTATTATCATAATTTGAACATCCACCGTTCACTGATTCTGAATACATACACAGACACACTGTGGGTGACAGAAGGGTTAGAGTGTCAGTACTGTCACCTGGACAGATGGATTTTAAGTTTAAATGATGTCTTTGGTATTGTGTTTGCAAACCAATAGTAGTCAAGGTTCATAAAGCAGTACCTTAATAGAATAAAATCGATATAATACAGTTCTTTGGAATGAACTGTTGAATTGGCCAAGTAACGAAGACGATCATAAGATTATTCTTGATTTTAAAAACTGTTGCCCTGCACAGATTTTAAGAAACCTTTTAAATTGGTTGAAAACACACTATTCCATCTGTGTAGAAGGGAATAGAAACAGACAAAAGTCATGGTCGATGAAAGAAAAAAAAACATTTAATTTAGGCAAACAATAACATAGGAATATGGTTTTACTTTGCTCCAGTCCCAGTGTCACAACTTTGTAAATAAACTCAGTACTCAGTACATGTGTTGGATCATCCATGACTTACACTCTTATACTTTTATTTGTTTGTTGATGGACCAGGGTGCAGGATCAAAGACTGTGAATAAAAAACTGTTCAGAAATGTGTTTCTGCCACACAAAATGGGAAGAAATGGGATATTAATATTATTTTCTGTGTTTATGTCTGCAACTGTTTAAGAAGGTCTGAGAGAACATCTAGCTGGGTCCTGTTGCGTGCAAACCAAGACATGATTTTAATTAATATCAGTCTCCACGAGGAATAAACATCAAGTACCAATAATTTACTGTCCTTGAAGAGCTCTACGTGTTGTTCAGCACAGGAACTCCGTTTGGTTTTACTGTGCTCCTCAAGGCTCCTTTCAAAAACCTGAGGGAACCCTTATGAGCACGACTGATGCAAAGTGGCTAAAAATGACAAGGGAGCCACCTTAGAAATTGAGATGGCACTATCTGGCTCCTGTGTCTCAGGTCATTGTGCTTCAACTAGTGTAAAGTGTCCAAAACAATTAAAAAATCCTAAAACTAGAAGCACATTTCCCAAACTCAATCGTTCACGCAGCAGAGCAGGAATCTCTTATTTGGCGTCTCCTTTGTTCAGGTTGTTGTATTTCGCCTGGAACTCTTCGTGTTTCTGCTGGAGAATTTCAATCTGCTTCTTGTAACCGTTGACCCTGAGTTAAAACACAAAAGACACTTCATTTTTATCTATGAGCATCACAAAACTGACAAATAAAATAATGAGAGACCTGTCTGTGCAGCATTTACCTTGCCCTCTCTTTGCTTTCGTTGTAAAGCTGAGTAATGACTCGGTCTTTCTCATCCATGTAGGTTCTATGCATTTCCTCCAGTTTTCTGAAAGAGTTGCAGAATTACAGAATGACTCAGTTTGACCTAAACCTCAGAGCCGGGCAGGAGCTTGGTGTGCTCGCTTGTATTTATGAGTTTGTTCAGCTGTTAAAACAGCTCTTCAGGCACAAAGACGTGAATCTGCACAAACAGAAGTGGCACAGAGTCTATGTGTGAAAGCAAACACACAAGACACAACAGAAACCCAGAGGTTGTGTCAAGAAACATGGCGTGGACTCAGGTCCACAAACAAAGTCAATCGTAAACGCCGCCGTGACTTTCTGAAGGAGAAAAGATGAAGCTGCTGTGGTGACGAAAAAAGACGGACACAAAAAAAAGGAGCTGGAACTTGAATGAAGCATCTTTCACACTCCACACAGTGAAAGCCACACTCACAAACAAATACAAACACACACACCTGAACAAATACAGGCATGCACAGGAATGTCATAGCTGAGCAGTTTGACAATGGCTGCGTACACGGTGACGAGAAAACAAAGTTTCTTCCTCTGCTGACAGACAAACGGCAACGAGTCTAACAGAGAGAACGTTGAACAAGTCTTCAGATATTTTACAACAGCCTTGGTTGTTGTAATGGTTATTAGTTCATCAAACTAAAGTAGGAATGCATTAACACCTCCATGTCTCTAATGATATCAATATACTGTATTACTTATAACCTTTATTAGACAAGGGCACCATTAATGCACCATAACCACATGTTACTTTTGTTTTAAATTTAAATTGGCAGATGGTGATTTATAATAAGACACATCCAGAGTGTAATGCAAACACTGAAGACACATTTGTGTGTACAGTTTTTACCTGAACAAGGCCATGTGGACTCCTATGCTGAGCAACATAGCTAGCAGACAGTAGCCCACAAGCCTTAAGTTTTTCCTCTTCATCTCCTGTGGTGAGACGGTGCCAGAGTGACGAAACTGCTCCCAGTAATGACTGTTGTTCTGATTGGCCATATTGGAGCTGGTGACGAAGGGTAAAAACAGAAAATACAATGGAAAACATTGCAGTAAAGCAATGGCTGTTAGCTGAATCAATTTCTTATATAGTCAATGCATTTGTAATATTCATCTTCTCAGGCTTGTACTGACAACGTCAGCTGGTAGTTCACCTGTCAGTAAACACAAAACTACTGTGGTGAGCTTCACCTGTGTCTGTAGATGTTGTGGTTGGAGTTTGGTGTAAATTCTCCAGGATTTGTGTGTCTGATTCTCAAGTCATACTCCTTCCTGCTTTGCTCTTTGCTCAGCACTTGGTACGCCTTGTTTAGCTCTACAAAATGACCGTGGAGCTTAGGATTGGATGGATCACTGTCAGGGTGCAACTGAGGTAATCAGGGATAATCAGACAGAGTGGTGTTATAAACATATCTGCATTGATAACAACTGCCATAAATATGTATGTCTATAGGTGGCCATCATGCAAAGGTAGATGGAGTTACACTGCCCCTTGTGGTAGAATGACAGATTGACATGGCACTTGACATAACTAGAGTATGTTGGAATACATAGTGTGTACATAGGCTTGAAAAGACTGCCCCCGAGAGGCCACTTTTAAAAATAAAAGAACACAAAGGATTTTGCAGTTCATGCAAGAGGCCACAGACAATATAGACGTTGAATCACATTCATGTAAACTGCCAGAAACCATGCCTGTTGTCTGTTAAAGTTTACTCTAATGTGTTTAATTTTTTGCTGGTGTTTGTTTGGTGAGGGCAGTCTCTCCCACTTTCTTGTAGCATCCAGTTTCCCCTAGACCAAACCATAATAGTATTCTATAAATAAAAATGTTGACTTTTCTTATGGTGGTTAAATCAACTCCTTACCTTATGTAGAAAACTATAAGTATGTTGGGATAAAATAGCCAATGACAAAAAGATTGTCTGTAGACCAATCAGAATCACAGGTCTAAAGGTTTAGGATCAGCTTCAAATTAACAGCAGCAACATCCCTGCAATAGTTAATAGACAATATATCACAAAGGTTAAAGCAATACCTTTTTGGATTTGTCAAAAAATGCTCTTTTAATTTCATCAAGGCTTGCATTAGAGTTCACTCCCAGGAGATTGTAGTAATTCATAGACTCTCTGTTGAAAGAAAACACAGCAGGCTCTTACACCCAACAACATTGGCAGTTAAGAAACTGTGATTCATTTTACATTTGACAGATCTACCTGAGTGCAAAGCTCTGAGAGAAGAGACGCAGTCCACTCCTGTAGCGTCCAAGACATTTCTGACACAGCGTCAGCTGAGCCTGCAGCTGCATGATGAGAGAGTCACACAGAGAACCTGTCAAAAGAGGTCAACATCAGGAAGATCACGCAGCTTAATTTAAACTTTCACCAAGTCCAAGAACACTGTTAATAAAGTATCATTAAGGTGGGTGTTATGGTAACTTCGACACAGCAGCAGTTATGGTCTGGGGGTGTGTGCCACATCAAAACCTAGAGTAATTAAAAAACAATCGAGATTGAAAGTAACTCAAAATAACATTCCCATATAGACACAGACAGCTGCACGTGTAGTATATTGTAGTTGGTTAAGTTCAGATAAAACTGATGACCCACTATTTTGGGAACTTCGCGTGCTTTCCGTCCAATGTGCTAGTCAGTTAGCTTTAGGTCTGTGTTGTTAGTATGGGTGGCTATGACGTTTGCCGGAAATGTTAGCCATACGAAATACAAGTATAACAAATTCAATGCGTTAAAATAATGAAGGACAATATTCAGCAGGGTTTTCTTTCATAACTGTGCAGCGGCGCTTACCGTAGTTCTCTTACATAAATGAAACTACGTCATCAATCGCAACAAAGACGAAATCGGAAACAAGTATGCTGATTTTCAAATTAAGAGTAGGGCCGCGTAACTACTAAGCAAAAAAAATAACACCAGTGTGACATTTTTTTCTGTTTTCTGTTCCTTTATCTTTTTTATTTCTCTATTATTCACAATATCCCTTTTCAAGTAATGTAATACAACTAATTGCTTCGTCAAAAGTGTTTTTGTTATTGATGGTGTTTGTTTCATTTTAGGATATAAATATCATGGTATTGTCAGTGTACAGTGGAGGGAGAGTAAAACGTTTACATTTTCTAATTTACTTTTATAGTTTATAGTATACTTTTATTTTGACAAAACTAAATTGGATCAATACGGAAACAATGTTAACTTTATCTGACACTTCAATTTGGTCCTTTAATCACTAGATGGTGATAGCGAGCGCATAAATGATGCCATGTCAGGAAAAAGAGGAAGAAGCGTCGCTGCTGCACTTCAAGGAAGGTAACAGAAACATTTAGGGCTTTCTTTTTGAAACATTTCAACAAAGTTATCCCATTGTTGGTGCAGTAATTCTCACTATACTTATGGTTGTGGACGTTAGGTTTCGACACGATAATGACCATCCGTGTATCTTCAACTTCTGATACACGATAAAACAAAAGTTTGGCACTTAAGCTGTCAGAGCAGCGACGTAGAGTTTGAGTCAGGTAAGAGTATGTATTTGACTAATGAGTCGAGTAGGTTATATGATAAAAAGATTGTTAGCCAGAGGAGGAAATGTAGACAAATAAAACAAAATAAATAGTATATATGTTGTTATAAAAACTAACCAATTATTTCATTATTATTTAAATAAAATTGACGAAAACGATAGTGGGCGAAATAATACTTGAGTATTGACTGTGGTCAACATAATCAAACACTGTGTTTTACATGCTGTAAAAGCCTATAAAATATTTTTGCTAATATTCATAAATGTTACATAATGTTACATAAAGGTCCAGGTTTATTATAAATGTCCGGGGAATCAGGTTTGTCAATGTTTGTGTGTGCTCTTGGTGGGAGTGTCTGTTTGTGTTTCAGATCGGTCATAAGAAGTACAATTCTGCTGTACAGTTCAAACCAAACACCTGCATTCAAATGGCTACTAGATGGCACTAAAATGTCGAAAAGCTAACCCTCTTTGTATTAACTTGAGGTGGAATATATTGTATTCTCAGCACCTTTAATGGTGTGTCTTTGGAACTGTACGCCAAACAGGAGGAGCTGATATTCATATATGTTTTTCGTAGCTACTGATCAAATGTCGACAGTGCATAGTACAAAAAAGTGTGGTAAGGGTTGCAGTACAACCACTTCCCTATTTGTATGCGTGCGTGCGTGCGTGCGTGCGTGCGTGAATGTGTCCAAACCTAAAACCTTGTGGTGTTAATAAGGTCTGCGAGATGTTTTTTCTCTACAGCGTCATTGTAGCATCTTTACTTGGTAGTAAATACGATGAAACTACCTATGTCCTGTAATCAAAAAGAATGCACCGATCCACAGTTTAAGAGATGATGGATCCCGAAGTGTCTTTGCTGCTCCACTGTGCTCACTGGAGGGGGCTGCTGCAGGGCCAGGTCGGAGTGGAGCTTTCTGAAAGGTATGAGTCTAAATCAAAGAATGAGATGTGTCATTTATGAAACATTATTATGTTAGAGCTGTATCTGTATGGATATGAAGAAAGAAAGAATTTAGACTCAGAGGCTCCGAGCAAATGTTCTAAAATATACAGTATGCATGATGACGGCTACACAGTCCACTTTAAAATAATGTTTCCAACCATGGTACGGGGGCACACTGGTGTCCCCGGAGAGATCATCAGGTGTGCCATGGAAATTGATCCAGATTCACTTAATTTGTTAAAAAATTAAAAAAAAAAAAAAATATATCTATATGCTTAAAATAATTTATCTCCGTTCGTCTATGCGACACTAACAGACAGAACGATTCAATTCTTCTCCACTAGATGGCAGCAGATCACTATGAAAAAAAGAGACTCACTAGTTAAGATTTGTGAGCCTGTTTTCATATAGTTTTTGTGATTTACAACTTAATTTGTGACCTTTATCAAGGGACATCTACCTGCTGTTTTTTTTTTGTCCTTCTGTTCCAGCAATATATAGATTTATCTGTTCATGCATTGTTTGACAGCCTCAGTAAAAGTCCTAAAAATGCTAAATGTCCTGCTGTGGTAATAGTACTGTCTGCTGTTCAGATTCAACAGACAGACAGATGCAGCTGTTGAGCGTCACATAGAAGATGTGTGGAGCCAGCGAGTGTCCAAGGAACCATGGCTTTTTAACGGGGCCAAATTCAGACTTCACTCATTCTGCTTCACTACCTCTGATTACAACTCCTCATCCTGTGGTTCTCATGGACACCTGTCCTCCACTCACTCAGCTACAGTGGGCAGTGTGGAAGACTGTGGGGGTGAATCAGTGTGTAGAGGAAGACGTGATTGTCTGTGTGACACCTATGTACAGAATTCTAATCAGAACTGCTTGGACCAAAAAAACGAGACACGAACTGTAGAGGATGTTGTCCATCAGGGTTCAGCTTCCTCCACGTGTGGAAATGATGAACTTCCTCAACACTGTGTTAAAAACAAAAATAAAGATGAAGACGCCAGGCCTCTGCTCACTCTGAGACTTGGACTTACATGCTATAAGGACTACCTGGGAACTAACTGGTCCTGTCAAGTCACAGAGCTGCGTCAGCGTGGCGAGACAGAGTTCAGTGATTCAATGGTCATGCTGGCTCAGCCTCTGGGAGTAGGTGCCATTCTGTGCACACGTGACAGACAGGTGGTGCTAATCAGGAGGAGCCAAAAAGTGGCTGAGGCAGCAGGTCTCCTGGACATCCCTGGAGGTCACCCAGAACCAAAGGTGGGGTCACAGTAATCAAATGAATGTGACTGCTGAGTGTGTTAGTTACATCACCTCTCCATGTCCAGGTGGTGTGTGAACATCTGGGCTTGGCAGATGGCGAGGAGGTGGACATGGTGATGATGCAGCAGAGACCAGAGGCCGTCGTCTCAGAGCTGTTTTCATCAGTGTGTGCCGAGATCAGAGATGAAGTGAGTTCTTCTGCTCTAAACTGCCACTAACCTGTTTCTTGTGAATGGTCAACTATCCTGTGGCTCTGAGCCACAGATATAAAGCTGTTGAAACACCTACTGTAACTGCTTACACCTAACTTGTTGGAAACTTTACATGCCAAGTGTTAGACATTTATCATCTTTACATATAAAGCTTTCAGTTGATGTAACTTTCTGGTTGTCCGTCTCCAGGTGAACGTTCCTCTCAGGTGCCTGGGAAAGCCCGTCCTGATGGGAGTGGCTCTGAATCACACCAGTGCTGAAAGACCAAGTGCTGAGTTCTACGTCAGGTAAGTTGTTCTGTTCTTATCATTTACTGTAGACTTGTTCTGTTACATATTTGTCGTCAGGTTTTCTCAGTGGTGAATTCTGTTCTGAAGATATTTATCTTCACTGTTCAGTTAATAAAATAAAATAAAACAATAAAAATAAAAACTGAGTAAAAATACAATAGATATGGATGGATTTATGAGCCTAAAAACAAAATCAAGGACAGTGCTCTAAAATATTAGCTCAATAATAGTACATTATGTATATATTTTAAAAAGTATGAGTAACTTTATTTTACAATATACTGTGCTCAAAAATAATTACTTATATATTGATTCATTAATGTATCTTCTGCTTCTGGAAAAAGGCTCCTGCCTCTAGTGGTAGAAGATGTTAATTCCATGCATTAGTACCGGGATATTAGACGGCAAACCCGTGATTTATTTATTTATGTATTTGCTTCAGGGCAAGGGCGGTCATTTCTCTAAGAGCTGTCTCTGATCTGTGAAATCAAAGACCCATTTGATGTGTCCATTTGTCCCCAGCTCCTCACTGACGTCTGATGATGTCAGGGCTCTGTACTGGGAAGGCGGAGCAGAAGCTCACGAGTCAACAGATATCGTCTTCCTCAGCAGAACAGTGAGTAAATTGTTTGTAGAACTGCAGGGAGAGGGGCATGACATATATATATACATACATACATATA